TTACTCCTGGTCTTTAATGCGTTGTACCTAACCCTCCGCCTACCATCTTTTTAATCTCCGCCCTTCAATTTGAAGACCGTCTAACCACTTCCCTATTCTATTTAAGTCGTACGCAAGCTTCTTCAACACTACAGGTCGTGGTTTCGTTCCCCAAAGGCATCGCACCAGCTTCGCCAAAGAGGACGTCGCTGCTAGGAACTTACCCTGCCATTAAGGAATTTCCCAGTTCTTCAGTTGGCTAGTATTCTATCAACGAGTTCAAGGTAAGATCTCAAATTAAATGGCATTTTCACTTTACCATGTTGGAACTTTGAATTTGATTGGAAACCTGAAGGGCAATTGAGCTTCATTTGTTTTTAATTTATGGCTATTTCTTCCACACTTGTCTACAATTAGTGCTTATTTGATTTTTTTTATAGCTTATTAGTTTGATGTATATTAGTATGTTGGAATTGAATGTGATCCAAATTACTTTCCTGCCTAAGTTTGTTTATTGGATTGGCTGTGAGATTCATGAATAGTTTGTTGGTCATATTTATCTAAATGCTGTTAAAGAATGAGGAAGCAAAATCTAGTCCTGGAGAGATTGATAGCAAAAAGATTGAAATAGGGGAATAATGATTTGGAATTGGTAATACCTGGGCTGGGGTGTATACTGCTTGGAAGGTGTTCTACAGGCTTAGGATATTTTGTTCCCTTTTTGATCTGTTTTTTGCATTTGTATGAAGATATACATGTATCTATATCTAGAAAAAAGAAATTGGAAGTCTATTATGGATAGAATGTTTTTTCATTGCTTTAAAAGTCTGTTTTCATTGCTTAAGAATTCATATTTCATTGTTTTAGAAAGCTGCTAGTAAATGGGATTGGAAAAGTGAGTATAGATCAATTGTGTGTTTTATGTTTAGTTCGTTTCCAAATTCCCTAGGTGCAAAAGGCTGTCCTACTCCATGTAGTGGATAATGAGCATGTTAGTTGTTCTTTTTTAAGCCCTACTTATGTAAATAGCATCACTATTTTTCTGGTTGGATTTGGTGCTCAACTATGAATAAACATGCTAATAGTTCTTTTGCTAAAAAAAATTATACTTGTGTCACTTTTGTTCTGCGTGAATGTAAATAATTCATCAAAGAATAATCCATGAAATTGTTTTGCATTTATTCCTTCCCAACATGGAAAAAGAGAAGTGGCCAAAACATACTTTGACATTTCTGTATAAGATTTACCTTTGAAAATATTCTTAATAAATATCAAAGATCATCCTTACTTTCTCGTACTGTCCATCAGGATATTATGATTGGGATTGGCTCATAGTGCCCTGAAGCAATCCTCTTCTTCCCCAGATTCATTAGGAATAGGTTGTAGCTAGGTTTTGCTTTTTTTTCTTTCCAGATTCATAACAGAATCATTGGATAGGTCATAGGGGGTTTAATGGATGGGAAATGTCATTCCAGATTTTTTGTTTAATGCTATTGCATAACGGCTGCTATATTTCAACTTACGACCGCTATATTTTATCAATCATCTTAACATGAGGATCCTGCATGTGGTTTAATGTTTTAGATTTTTGTGCTGCATTTAAGCATATCAATCAACAGAAATCACTCTCCTATTAGTTGATATGTGTGTTTTGAGATAGAGTCTAGCAAGGGAGAGGGCTAGACTTAGGAGGAGTCTCTTCTGTAAGTAGAGCTTTGTGTTTGACAGAGAAAGGACAGAAAGATTAAAGAGAGGACTGAATTTTGCATATAAATGGATGCTGATGTGGATAAAATCTGATTAAATTATATATCTAAAGAGAGGACTGAACTAATTTTTTTTTAATTATAACTGATAAGATTTTTCGTAACAGAAATATAGCATGCTACAATTTTGTACTTGATCTTTTGGTATTATTCACAAGTGAGTGTCCATATTTGTTGTGGTAGATGAGTTTAACGTAAGAAGAAAAGGAAGAAGCCATATGGTTACCATTCTAGAGGAAAGATTTCCCATTCTAGACATACCACGTTGTTACCCATTGAGAAGACAGGTTCAAATTCTCATAGCTTGTTGTGCATTGCATAACTTCATTCACATGCAAGATATGACCGACCGTTTGTTCATGGAGTACGATGAAGAAGATATTATATTTAACACAGCAGCAAGTACACCTGAAATGGATCACTCGAATTTGATATGTCTCAACAATTACAAATGCACGAAGTTCGAGAAAGTATTGCAAATGCAATATGAGATGATTACAATGTATGAGACGTTGAAGTACAACTGTTGTTTGATTAAAAACATCTCACTATTTGAACTTTCAGTGTTTGGGAACATTTATGTTAAATTTTTGTATTATTTCAAATGTTTGTAATTGTGTATTTCTTTTCCAAATATTAAATCAATGTTTTTTTAGAAAAAATGAAATGGAAAATTGAAAAACTCTGGTAAACATGTTTTCTGATTCGGAAAACAAAAAACTGGAAAACGAAAACAGAAAACTGGAGACTTGAAAACAGAAAATGAAAATAGAAAATTATCTCTATTAGTAAACATGCCCTTATCTTTTTGTAGCGTTCTTATTGAATTTTGGGATTCCATATTACTTTATTAGTTTTTGAAAAAAAATCCACTTTTAATCCCATGACTGTTATGCCACTTCTACATTTCTCCCTTGACTTCCAATTTAACCACATTTAATCCTTGACCTTTTCCTCTTCACCACCCGTCGTCCTTCCGACCATAATTTCGGCACATTTTAACCGGAAAACCATTTACGGATAAATATTAGGGGCATTTTAGTAAATGTGTGTTGTTAAAATGACTACCTTCTAAATTAACTTGACTTAATGCGTAGTTAATATGTTGGTCTCACTAATACGTGGTTGAGGGAGAAGAGTTCAGTTGTAGTTGTCAGGGAGAGGGTATTTGACATATTAACTACGCATTAAGTCAAGATAGTTTAGAAGGTAACCATTTTAACAACTTACATTAACTAAAATGCCCCTGATATTTCTCCATAAATGGTTTTCCGGTTAAAATGTGTCGGAGTTGAGGTCGGAAGGACGACGGGTGGTAAAGGGGAAAAGGTCACGGACTAAATGTGGTTAAATCGAAAGTCAAGGGAGAAATGTGGAAGTGACATGATAGTTATGGGACTAAAAGTGGAATTTTTTCTTAATTTTTGTGATTCAATGTTATTTTCATATAGTTTCTAAATTTGTAAGTTTCAATTATATGTACTAATTTAGATATTATTAAGAAAAAGTTAACTATATCCTCAATTATGCATCATAAACTGAAATGGGCACTTCATTTAAGGACGAAGGGGGTGTAAAAATAACAATGAAATAGTTCAAATAATATGGTGATAGTGTGACGCTTCATTTCAATATCATCTTGTTTCTATGTTGAATATTTAAAAAAAAAAACTAAAACTATTTCATTTCAAGTTACTCTATTTAACAACAATCAAGATCAAAATAGTTTAAATTTGGGCATGAGAGCTTCAATAGTAATTCATTTTTCTTGATGACCACAATGATGTTTATTTCTGACCGTTTCTACGGTAATTGTGTCTAAACATTCATCTAAAAACTAATTCAACCGAATACAAGCGGGGGTAAGAGTTTATAGCATAAGTACTACTAGTGTTTTTCGGGAGTAAAAGCGGGGACACTTGCCCCCATCTCACATCTTTGTTTATGGTAGGCTATTCAACACTTCTTAATGACCTCAACGAATATGTAAACAAGGGAATGTACCTCTCCTCATGTATTGGTGATATAAAAGTTACAGATGAAGTGTAGCCCATGTGTCAAATTATGGTTTGGTTTGGTTTAACAAAAAAAATTGGTCTGGTTCAGTCCTACACAGTTAGGGATATTCTAGGTAGGTGTGACTTGTGAGGTTTATAAAATTAGCGGAATAGAAACGTTGTGAGGAATAGCGTTCTTCTCCAGCCCACTTTTTTCAATTTCAGCTCCATGTAGTCTATCATCCAAACAGTGCTAATTCTCCATTTATTGGCTGAAATTAAAAAAATTCTAGCCCTTTATGGGCTGAAATGTCATGCCAAACATAGCCAAAATTGATCAATTAGTGGCTCTCTAGCCCCCGGGCCTCAGCTTAGCAAATCATTTGATCAACATTTAGGCTGTGTTCGGCATGCCCAATAAGCTAAAAAGACTACATTTGTCTAAATTCAATCAACTTTAATTTATGTAGCCTTGTTTGTTGAAGGGTCTGAAAAGGGCTTAAGCTGGAAAATATTGCCTAAGTTGAAACGTTGAACATGGTAACGTTTAGGTTCAGTCTGCAGTTTCCAGACTTTCTATTCCCATTATATCCCCAATGTCATATATACTGCGTATAATCTTTCCTCCCAATAATTCTTCTCCATTCCCCCGCAGGCTTATTGATCTCCAATTATTTTACATTAGCTAGAACTATACGCATGGCAGTATGGGTGTCACTTTCTCTGGTGGTGCTATACTATACTGAAAATTAAATTACTATACTAATGACATGTTGGAGTAAACTCTCATATTTTTAGTTTTAATCAATGAGGTGTCAAATTTCACATTTTTAAATTTAATCAATGACTTTAAATTATATCATACGAAGTATTTTAAATTCACATATGTATACACACGCATACATATATTAAAAGGATGTAGATATAAAATCGTATTAATAAATATTTTATCTATTAATAAATCATTTGTCCTTTAAAATAATTTCATATTATTCCAGCACTTTTTCAGTTCTTTTTGTCAAATGGGTCTACTCCATACAGCTAACAATCAGATTCAGCACTTCAAAGTTCAACTCCAGACAATCGTCGGTTGTTCAGACAATCGTCCCTAATTCAGACATTAGCCTCCAATTCGAGCTCGTTGGGCCAAACATAGCCTTAGTGTGTGACTAAGACTTGAATAGAAATAAGTGAAACATTATAAATTCACAGGCTTATTAAGAAGGTAAGTATGGTTGAGAATAGGTATGATTATGGACTAAGACTTGAATTGAATTTAATAAATCTCTTTCCTAAAAGGGGCAAAAGTGAGTCATTTTGAGGTGGTTCAAACTGAAAAACATAATTGGCCCCCACACTCCAGAAATGGTTGGGTCTTACAAACATATACATACAAGAAAAAAGATGATTCATAAGGGGGGGATGTACCTAATTCCTAAGTCCCCACACCTACCTGGTAAACTAGACTTTGATTACATTATGGTTATATGATGTGAAATTTGTACATGGAACTTGCAAAGATCTCATGTTGGGGATGGTTGCCGGTACTTGTCCTGAATAGGAAACAAAATCAAGCATATATTGCACGGAGGGGCATGTAGAAGGAAAAAATCGTTGTGATCATCGGAGAGCAGGACAATGGAAATGTAACATGATTAGCCATTAAAAACATTTTTAACTACTTATGCACATGCCAAAACAATGTAATTTGTAATTTTTGTACACTACTACCATTTACCCATTTTGGAGCCATAGAGGCTTGTATTTCAATAAAGGGCAAGGGATGGTTTGGTCTTCACTTTTGGCTTCCTTTTTGGCTTTTTCAGTTCCTCTCCGCGAGCATTGCCCACAGGCCTTGCCATGGGTGTACAGTAGACAGTTCAGGTCAAATTTCAGTTCATTTGGAATTCGTTGGTTGAGATGCAGATAAGTCTTGTTCAAGTTTGCCTCTGCTGGAACCCAACCAACCGTCTTCGCAATCTGATAAACCTGTTAAACAATCTGTAATAATTAAGAATCTAACTCCTGCCCCCATTCATTTGTCCCACAACAGATGGGAAATAGAACTATAAATAAATAATGAGCTTACATGTGTGTCTACAGGAAAATCATCTTGCTGTAGATGAAACATCAAGACACAAGCCACCTGCAGTATATCATATCCTGAAGTATGAGACTGGGGTTCTCTGTCATTTTTCTTTTTTGTATACTATTAGCCTTCACTTTATATAATAAAAATGTTCATTACAATATTTATATATTTCATGCAGAAGTCTGAGTAATAAAAGTGTGCACCATTAAAAGTTTCATGCCACAATCAGTTACAATCATATTTCAATCTGAAAACAGCAGAAACAACAACATCCAAGCCTTAGTCCCAAAAAGATTTTGGGGTCGGCTATAATCTGAAAACAGCGGATATACAAAGGAAAACTGTGGAAGACGCAACAGTTTTAGCAATTAGGGAGAGTATAAAAAGTTTGAACACTTTGAAAGCCAGTCCCACTTTCAAAACTCAGCCAATAAATGAAGGAGGAAAGGCCAATGGTGTCTAAAAAGAAAACTAGCCCTAGTGTATTCATGCTCCTGAACACTCCTTGTTGTCTACCTGGCCAAAAATTGGACTTGTGGGCAGCAACTTATGTTTCTAGTGCCTTAATATGCAGTCCAATAAAAGCAATTGACCATACAGTGAAGTTGATTAACTAACAGTTAATTTAAGTAAAAAAAAAAGTAATATTTTAGTCTTTTATCAGGTATGCATATGCTCCCATTGTTTTTTAGACAGTAAACCGTTTCTGAGAAGCCAAACACCTTCTGAAAATACGAAACGTGCCGCTTGGGAGAAGTTTAAACATGTTGTATTCCTATGGTACGAAACTACGAATCTAGGACGTATGTGCAAACCATAATGGATTTATATTCCACACTGAAATATGTCAAAAACTGTAACTTCAAAGAGTTCATGTAATTCCACAATAAATTACACCTTATGCCAACGCACAGTAGAATATTTCAGACATCTCTGATAAGCTTCGCATGAGCGGTCAAAGATTTCATTTTGCATGGGGTGCAATATGACAATGAAAGATGCTGAAGTGGTAATAGATCAACACAAAGATTGAGGTTGCTTAACTAGTTCATTATGAAACTTTTATTTACAATAAATAAAATATTCAAGAAATTTATTTTACAGTACGCAATGTAATGCATCTATGAAATGTATTATGAAGTTTCCTAATAACAATGGATATGGAACTTTATTCGGCTTGACTTTTATGGAACTCTAAACTATGTGAGTATATAAAGGTTATATAATTATTCCAATACTATGAACTCATAATGGAAATATTATAAATCAGTATCTAACATGTGAACACCTATTGTGAAACCTAATGTTTTTAACAAATACAGAAAACTTCTACATCAACACGTATTGGTGTTCCACATGCCACTTTCTTCATTCCTTTATCATTCTTTTTTGCCACGCATCTGAGTGGTGTTTCAAGTGCATTTTGCATACAATTGCACACATAACAACTCTTATGAGTTATGACAGTGGTCTCAACTAGGTTATGCAGTGTGCACGGGTCCTCCTGCGTTATGCATAGAAAGATATGCACTCCCTCAGCTCCATTTTGAAAGGGTTATCACTCAAACCTTGAAACCATGACTATTTTACATGACCAAATAGTGATTGACTCATGAGGCAAGTACCTAGCCACCACACCAAGTTCAGCATTTATTTATAGATGTTGTTATAACTTGTCTCCTAATTATTCAAGAAGAAAGCTTGAGGGAATTCTGAAGGTTTCATTAATATATACATGTTGATTTAATCCATTTAACTGTTTTACCATTATAAAGGATACAACGAAGGAATTCTTCATCAATGACAAATAAAGCAATCAATTAAGCTGAGAGTAAATATCTGAGTAAAGATCATCCACACATAACTGCCTAAACACGAGGATAATTTGAAAGACAATTGATTACCGTTTTAGGCCCAACTCCACCAAAGCATGAAAGCTCTTTCTTGATTTCCACAATAGATAGATCCCTGAGGTACTCCAGGCACAACTTCCCTTTCTTCTCAAGCAAGCACTTCAAGATGTTCTTAATACAAGCTGTTTTGCTTGGTGCAAGGCCCCCACATTTTATAGCTTCTTCAACTAACTTCGGCTCAGCAGCATGAACCTTGCAGATGTACAAGACAACCACACAAAATGATGAGACAAAAAAAGTCAATTTATCTGAGTGCACTACACTCATGAAATATAAGTAGTCTATTAAGCATAAATTGTGCCATTCCACTGGCATACAAGTATTGTATAAACATAATTCATGGCTACAAGCCTACAAATCTCTTCACCAAACAGCAGAAGTACTTGTGTTGCTAAAAAGGGGAGCAGCCCAGTGCAACGAAGAGGCCGCTCCCAAGATTTGACATCTTGGACACACAACAACAACAACAACAACGGGACAAGGCCCACTTGTGTTGCTAATTCAGAAAATATATGCATGGGGGCAAATTGATCTAAATTTGCAATTCGGTGAAAATATTCCTTCAGAGATTTAAATTAAAGCACGACCCATCATCTATCTGATATGTGAAGGCATTGCTCCCTATTGTTAGAAAAATAACATTTAAATTGGCGAGTTTAGTCAGATAGAATCCCGAGTTTAATCACAAATCACCCGATAAAGTACCAAATGCAAGAGATCGTTCAACATATAACAACTAATGAATAACAAAATTAAATTCAATGAAAGCATACATCTTCCCAGGTGGGGAAAGAATACTTGAGAGTACTGAAAGCCCTCCGAGCATTGACCTCGGTGGTGTTCTGCGACAGTATGGCGCCCACTAGGCCGTCCAGCACACTCTCATGGGAAAATCCGTCGCTATCGTCACCGTCTTCCTCGGGATTAGGGAGGTTGAGGTCAAGAACAGGGGATTTCTCGTTTAGCAGAAGCCTCTGTTTGCGATACTTGAGGAAGTCCTTGGGAAAGCCGTGGAGGGCCATAAGGTCATCCAGCACGCCCCGGCAATCTTCCATGGTAGGTTTAGGGAAATCTGGGTATGGACCCCGCCCGTGAACGGCGGCGGCGCCATGGTTGCGAGCTGGAGGCGGCGACGGGGAGCGTTTCCTTTTCAGGGTAGTCGGCATTTTAACCAAGTCGCGCGCCAAACGAACAAAGACAATTACAGGGAATAGCACCAATCCAGCAGACTATATATACATCTGTATCTGTATCTATACACGCGGTGGGTATAATATTGGGATTTAGGCACGTGTCGCGGAATTTCAACGCTCTATTTTTTGAAAAATCGAACTTCAGATTTTTCATCACATTAATAGTATCATACTCCAATTGATTGGGAGTGAGCATCCGTCCCAGACCCTGCATCAAAACTGTTTAGGGCTTCTTCGAATATTACCTAATTCAAGCTAATTTCTAAAACTGACCACTTTTATAGAAGAAAAAAAACGTGACTAAGAAGTCAAGAAGGTCACAAAAAAATATGATGTCACTCTTTTTATATGTTACTGTCAGATTTTTATGTCACTATTGTATGTCACCATTACATTTTTATTTCACTTTCGAAAGTCACTATAAACGTTGGGAAATTTCCCGAAAACTTTTTCCGGCGAAACAATACACCACCAACGCCCCGCCGACCACATTTTTCGTGTCGCTGTGACTTGTCACTATTGTTTTCATGTCACTTTTAGAATGTCACTCTACCGCCGGAAAACTTTTCCGACAGTTTTTTCCGGCCAAAATGAGCAGCACATCCATCGCCGCATGCCGGAGCTGAACCACCATCGCTGCAATTGGTCGCCGCAGCGCCTCCATCATCTCCGCACTCCGGAGCCAAACCACCATCGCCGCAATTGATTGCCTCAACCAATTGCGCAGAGTGTGCCGAGATGAAACGTTCAGAGAGAGAAAGGTGCATGTAGCAGGTAACTAATACTCCCTAATATTTTTGTAATATTATTAGTGTCATTGTTTCTAGTTTTCGCCACATTAATATATTTTTTGAATAATAAAGATCGGGTTTTTATATTAAAAATCAGACAAGATACAAGATAACATCCAGACAAGTATGACAGATCCGACTATGAGTCTTGAGAATAGACATAAAATCAGCCACCTCATATAAAGCAACTTGATTCGTTAGACAAGAAACACACAATTTAAAGACTAAAACAATCTAGACTGAAATACTCTCTATCAAACATACTTTAGAAGTTCAAATTTTCAAATCAAACCTACTCAAAGTAAATAAAACAAGTACTACTGATGAAAAAACAAATTTGAAATAAAGGTTTTCCACAAAACTCTTAATGGCACAAAGGTGGTTCGGGAGGAAGGCGAGTTTTTACCAATGTCTACGTACGCACTCTAAAAGAAGGTAGACTGAATCACTGAAATCCCTGACCAGACGAAGCTAACAGGCACACCAAAAGAACTCTCCACATCGAGAGAGACAAACCACCCCAGAACACTGGTGTCTGGGAAAGAAACGCCATCAAACAACCAGAAGAGAAGAAAAATCCAAATGGCTCACACCTCTATCAAAATCTCCGAGCGTTGATGTCACCGTGAAATAGTTCGGATCAGTGAAAGCCATAAGAAAATTTATCAAGGGAAAGAGGCCTCTTCCGTTACCATATTAATATTAACTAGCGTCTTATCAGTGGCGCATCAAGAAAATTCGGTCAGTGGGGGCGAATTTACACTTACGTTACCACACATTTTTTAGGAAATAAATATTAATTAAAAAATTGACAATTTATTAAAAAAAAGTATAAGAAACAAATGAAATATGTTATTATAAGTTTATAACTAATTTAAGTTACGAATAAACAAGTGTGTTTTAATATTAAGTGCGAAAAGATGTGATTAAAATTACATACTCCTTCTATCCCGTTAAGATTGTCTCATTTTACATTTTCGTAAATGCCACTAAAATTGTCTCATATCAAATTTGATAAAAGTTTGTGTAGCTCTAAATCATTTTTACTTTATAACTATGTCATGTCCTCTGGTTCCAATGTTAGTGGAATGGAGGTAATACCATTTATTAGTTACATTAAAATAAATTATTTTAAACTAATTTGGATCTTAGGTTTAGACATTCTATAGTTTATTGAATATAAAACCAAAAATACATAAGAAATTGATGAATTATGTGATTATAAGTGATTTTTAATATTGTGTGAAAAGATGTTATTAGAATTACATATCATTTATTGGCTACATTAAAAAATTAATTTGAATCTTCAAATTAAGTGGAGTCAAGCTGTGCAAGATCCCGTCGGAGTTTAACCCCGCGGATATGGGTACCAAGTGTCTTTCTGCTGAGAAGCACTTGTCCTGTAAACGCGTGTTAAACTTTGACTGTGGATAACTGTGGGTTGCCAAATAAAGTGTTTGCCCGTTGTGTCTTTTGATATTCCGGGTGACCCGGCGATGATGAGTCTTGTCACAACTTTGTTTTGTTACTCTACACCACCTAGGACCAATAAGGTGGAGAATGTTGGAGGTATTGGTCCTATCAAGGCCTCCCTTCCACTTTATTAGCTGAGGCTTGCACCCTAATAACTTACTCCCTCTTTGACACCTTTACCTTGGTATATTACCTGATCAATAATATACCTGGAATCTGCCCCATTGCTTCTGTCCGCTGCACCCTCTCTTTTGGCTTGGCTTATACCCGTGAGTGTCCTTGGCCATCTTGTGACTGTCCTTGTTGTCTGCCCATAGGCTGGCAGCCTACTATAAGTCAACCCCCCTTTCTTTGTGAATTAAGCCTGCGAGAGTAACACTTCTATTGAGAGCAGTGTCTTCCTTCTTCCTCTTTGTGAGTTCCTTTGTGGTTAGAAGAAGAGAGTTGAGAGATAGGTGTGCTATAGCCTCCTCCTAGTGTGGTGTGTGAGAGTATGTGTAGAAAGACCTGAGCCGGAGACGGATATACGATCCTTACGGTCTCCAATCCCCGATAACCTCCGGATTAACTAAAAGGTATTTAAACTTTGGTGAATACTGAATATAAACCGATTCATAATGTGTTTCATCATTAGTTTTTCCCACACTTGCAAAAAGTGCGTCATTATGAACGTTAATGTTCATATAACCGATTCATATAAGTGCATGTTTGTGATTACTTTGATAATTTGATTACATTCTAGGGAAAATGGAAACTAATAATCCAACCTTTTAGCGGTCTTCTTTTAATAGTCCCACCTTTTCGTTATTCATGAATAATCCAACATTTGCACCTCATCTTCATTCACTGGTCCCTGACCGGTTGATGACCTGTTATTCCAAGTTATTTTCTTATCTTTGCAAAATAATATCTTTGTGAAAGGTGGAATTTATGGTATAATAGTTTGCAGAGATAAGAAAATTATGAAATAATAAGATGGAATAATGGCTCACCCTAATAGGGTGTCCTGGTGGTCTATATATAATAAATAGAGAATATCAAAAATTACATCAGAATCCCAATACTATAGATTATTACACCCCCTCAATCTGTGCAGGGGAAACAACGCGCAGATTGGAACGTAAAAATTCAAAACGCTGACTAGATAAATTTTTAGTATTGGGATTAGTAGGAAAACCTGGGAGCTGCGGGCTGGTTTGCTGCTGCAAAGAAGAGACACCTGGTTGACTGGAGAAGGTGGAGCCAGAAAACATCGGTGGTGGTGAGAGCCGTTGATCCAAAACAGAGGGTCTGCCAAGCGGATTTGAAGAAGAGGCCGCCATGGAAGAGGATGCCGCTGCAGCAGTTGAAGGAGCCCAGGAAAACGGTTCCGGCATGTTGAAGAGGCGATACGACGACAAGGGTGGGGCCGTATAAGAGAGACCAGGTGAGTGCCGATGCGGAATTAAATGTGGTGAAGACAAGGCGGAAGAGGCAGTCTGCGTCGAGAGGGAGACCACTGACTCTGGTGCGGAGGAGAGCGAATCAGTTGAGACTGGCGCTGTGACTGCCATGGTGGAAGCCGTCTGAGTAGTTGCAGAAGAAGAAGAAGCTGCCATCGATCGAGGAGAAGAACCGATCGATAAAAAGAAAGGCGGCTGTATATACTAGGGTAACCTAGGCTCTGATACCATATGAAATAATAAGATGGAATAATGGCTCACCCTAATAGGGTGTCCTGGTGGTCTATATATAATAAATAGAGAATATCAAAAATTACATCAGAATCCCAATACTATAGATTATTAAAAATAACTCGGAATAGCAGGTCATCAATCGGTCGGGGATCAATGAATGAAGATGAGGTGCAAAGGTTGGATTATTCATGAATAACGAAAAGGTCGGATTATTAAAAGAAGACCGCTAAAAGGTTGGATTATTAGTTTCCATTTTCCCTACATTCTATCAGTTTTTTTAGTAATTATTCTTATTCTATCATATAAGTGTATTTTCGGTTTTCTAGAAATCTCACTAAAATTTTCTCAAAAATAAAATCTCACTAAGATTGATTGTCTTATACCAAATTTAGTAAAGTTCATCTCACTCTAAATCATTCTTACTTTATATTCACTTTATCAATTCATTATCAACCATATAAACTCACTTTTCTTAATAACTGTGTCATCTCCTCTTGTCCCAATGTTGGTGGGACGGAGGTAGTAAGTTTTAGTGACTTAAAAGTTCTTAAAATGAAAAGGTAGTAGCTCTTTCGTTAGAAACTGATTGTTTGATTAAGTTTTGTTTGGTATATATACAAGCGGTTGGGAGTAATTAATGCTATAAGTTACATACTTTTCTCAGGTGCTACTCTTTGTAGCATCTAAAAATATATATTTTATTTGTACAAAAACTCTTATAAATTATTATATCAAACATACAACTAGAAATTTTTAGAAATTTTTTAAATACGGAGTAGTACAAAAGTTAGAATGTATGAATCTATGCCTACCAAATCTGGCAAAAAAATGTCTACCAAACATGCACTACATTTGAAAAATACTATTTGATTATAAGCTTGTTTGATGACCTTATTTTTTGATTTATTACTTTTATCATTCAACTTTTTCATCATGCACGTGATTTTTTATTTCCCGTTCGATTGTGCAATAATAAAAATAAATAAGGTTGTAATTAATTTTCTGGCTGATTTGACTAATGTATAAGCCGATTCAATTAATTTCAGTGTTACCAAACTAGCTCTATAGGAGCTCTATAATTTCAGAGTTTGCGAAATAAAAAGTGTTTTTCAATTTTTTATTTGAAAAAAAAACTGAAATAAGTATTTCCAAATGATAACTTATACCTAATTTATACACTTAAAAGCAAAAAACAAGTAGATGTGTGTTTTAAATTATTTTCCGTTTTTTCTACTACACAAAAAACACTTACCAACACTACCAATTTTTACCTTTT